GTAGGATCCACTCTCCTCTGTGCGTACGAGTGTTGTCGTGTAGCCTCCTCCTGTAGCCATCAATGACTCGACGACAATCTTCTCCGTGCGTTCATGCTGTTGATAGGGCTGGAGTTAACAGAGCACTTCGTCAGTACGTGCAGTACCGGTACCTCCTCTCTTGTTGTTATCCCGAGGGATCGTTCGTTCGGTCGAAATGGGATTTCCTCGGCCGTCGGCAATGCAGCAGAGAAAACAACAACTAGATTTGAGTTGTGTTCTCTGTGCTGAACTGCAGACGACCGGAGACGTACCCTTGTTTTCCAAATTGCACCAACTTGGCTGTCATGGGCCTAGAACTGACTGCCATCCCATGGTGCATAGGATTCAATGAGGGATGGCTTTCGAATCTACACCGGAGAAGGTCGGCTTGAGTGAGCGCTGTAGATAACAAGAAATAGAGGTGCAACGATCGACTCGAATAATTAAAACAACTCACCTGTTGACGGCGAGCTCGGAATTCTCTCCTGTTTACCATAGGAATTGAATGAGGGAGAGAAGTCAGCGCTTACCTTCAATTAACACTCTTGATAATAGCTTACCTCGAATCGATTCGATCGATCGGCCGATTGGATAAAGCACTCACTATTGTTGCCGGCCAAGCTTGGATTTACCTCCTGTTTACCATATGAATTCAATGAGGAGAGAAGTCAGTGCTGCCCTTCAATAATGAGGGACATCGGTGCGATCAGTTTATCCTTAGCCTTAGAAACTTCAACGGTTTTTTATCCACGAATCGATCTAAATTGTCGTAAAAAACGTTAAGTACAGGTTTGGTACTTACGGATGCACATGACTGTTGATTCTGCAACTGAAGTGCCGGTACTCTATTTTACACAGTAAACGCTGGCAAATCGATTTCAGAGTGCAACTGAGGGGTAACCTTAAGGAGCGCCATCTCAGGAGACGGAATTCGGCTTTTTTTCAGCGTTCGTCTCCTTTTTCCTCAGTTTGTTGGCTACTTGGATCCATGCACAACCGAATATTGTCAATCCAGCCATTGTAGCCAGTTACCTTAGAGTTAAATCAATCGGTGACAGTGGCAACAGTACCGAACACACTCAGGTTCCGCTTTACTGGCCACACTCCGTTACCAGTACCTTGCATTGGATCCTTATGACGATACATGCACAACCGAACATTGTCAATCCAGCCATCCGTTAGCCAGTACCGTAGAGTTCAATCGATCAGTGACAGTGCAACAGTTACAGAACACACTCAGTGTTCGACTTTGCTCGCTGCACTCGGTTACCTCGCATTGGATCCGTATGACGAATATCGCACAACCGAATATTGTCAATCTCCAGCCATTGTGGCCAGCTGATGTATAGCTAGTCACAACAGTACTGAAAGTTCGGCTTTGCTCGCTACACTTTCGTTACCAGTACTTTGCATTTGATCCTTATGACGAATACATGCACAACCGAATATTGTCAATCCAGCCATTGTAGCGCTACCGTACGGTTTATATCGGCACAGTGTGCAACAGTACCGAACACACATCAGGTTCCGCTTTGCTGGCTACACTCCGTTGCGGTATCTTGCATTGGATCCTTATAACGAATACATGCACAACTGAACATTATGAATCCAGCCATTTGTAGCCGGCTGCGGTATAGCTACATCGACGACAGTGGCAACAGTACCAAAAGTTCGGCTTTGCTCGCTACAGTTACCTCGCATTGGATCCTTATGACGAATACATGCACAATCGAATATTTTCAATCCAGCCATTGTAGCCAGTTACCGTAGAGTTACATCAATCGGTACAGTGGCAACAGTACCGAACACGCTCAGGTTCCTTGGTTCTGCTTTACTGGCTACACTCCGTTACCGGTACCTTGCATTGGATCCTTATGACGAATACATGCACAACCGAACATTGTCAATCCAGCCATTATAGCCAGCTATCGTAGGGTTCATCGATCAGTGACAGTGGCAACAGTACCGAACACACTCAGGTTCGACTTTGCTCGCTGCACTCAGTTACCTCGCATTGGATCCTTATGACGAATACACGCACAACCGAATATTGTCAATCCAGCCATTGTAGCCAGCTGCCGTATAGCTAGTGGCAACAGTACTTGACTTGCGCATACAGGAAAATGGGTACTGACAAAGGAATCACCACCTTAACAGTAGGAAATAACAAGAAGGGATGAATCCGGTAGGAGGATCCACTCTCTTGTGTGTTGTTGCCTCTTCCGGTGGCTGTTGCCTTTCAATGACTTGACGACGATAGGCTCCTCTGTTCAGGCTGTTGGTAGGGCTGGAGTTAACAGAGCCTCCTCCTCCGTAGCGGTAGCCTCTCATCTTCTTGTTATCCGGAGCGGTCGATCGAAAAGGACTCGGCAATGGTAGTTCATCGGCCGTCGGCAGTGCAGCAGAGAAAACAACAAATAGATATGAGTTTTGTTTTCTGTGCTGAACTGAAGAAAACCAGCGACTTACCCTGGCTTTTCAAATTGCACCAACTTGGCCGTCATGGGCCGAGAACTGACTGCCTTCCCGCGGTCCATAGAATACAATGAGGGATGGCTTTCGCTTCTGTACCAGAGACAGCCGGCTTGAGTGAGGCATGGCAATAGAGATAATAGAGGTGCGATCGATTCGATTCGAATAATTAAAGAACAACTCACCTGTTGAAGGCCGAGATCTGACTGCCTTCCCCTGGTTCATAGAAATTCAATAAGGGGTGGCTTTCGAATCTGCATCTTCAATAACACTCTTGATACTAGGCTTACATCATACAGTACTGTACCAGTCGTTGGATCATTCCAACACCATTCTTGTCGGCCGAGCTTGGATTTCTCTCTTGTTTGCCATAGCAATTCAATGAGGGAGAGAAGTCGGTGCTGCACCTTCAATGATGGACTTGAACGGTATGACCGTACCGGTTTTTAATCCTTAACTTTAGTAACTTCAGTGGTTCTTTTATCCACGAATCAATCTAAATCTTTCGAAAGGGAACTTATTACTTAACGATACACATGACCGTTGATTCTGCAACTGAAGTGCGGCTACTCCTTTTTCCACAGTAAACGCCGGCAAATCGATTTCGGAGTGCAACTGAGGGGGTAACCAAAAGGAGCGCCGTCTCAGGTGCGTTCCTAACCAAACTCCATGTGTGTCCTCCGTGCATACGCGAAACACATTTATTTTCATCGATTTATTTAGGCGTACGTATCAAGTTTTCATTCCTATCCATGTGACAAACATATTTTTACGCGGTACGCGAACCTGCAGAATATGTGCATACGTCATTCAAGATCGCAGGGCGAGGCTAGAATCGCATGCTTCGATCGAATGATCAATCGAATCGAATCGAATGGAATCGACTGACACTCAGAGATAACTAGCTAGCTAGCCAGTACGACCGTACCGTATCCGTACGGTTAGAGTTGGGATTTGTGGCCGTGACTGAGTTCGGCTGGCTCTAACGTTCTGATTGGTCCTACGCGAATTCTTTTTCCCTCATAATTTCGGTACGGCGAATTGAGAATGCAAAATCAGTGATACGGCGTACCGAAATTAATGGGCAAAAAGAGGGAAAGCGAGCCCAATTTAACAGTTAACTTGATTTCAGGTACCCACCGACGTCAAAATGGCTGGTTAGGAAAGCTCCTCAGGAGACGGAATTAAAGGGGTTGAGAACAAGCTTGTCATGCAGTTGGAGGATAATTCGATGGTTGCTGTGGACAACCAGCTAACAAGTGTCCAGACCGTATTGGAGAACAACCCTACTGCAGATCCACTGGTAGAGGAATATATTATCCTACGGTGAGGCTTTTGGAGACAGCATGATTGGCACGGTACCGGCATACGAAATGCCCTTTCTTTGAGTACGTTTGCTTGCTTGCTTCTTCATCCTGGCATATGCTGGACTTGCTTGAAATAAATTCGCTTTCAAATCTTTCTTTTCAATATTATCCTGCAATATTTGGTGGTGATCCACTTGTATCAAAGAGTTGTTTCCTAAAACCACCACAGAACACCGGTAGTGCATGCCAAGCTACTGGCTGATATAGCTACTAATACTCTAGAGGCGCTACCGGTACTCCAGAAACTTACTTCACATCACCTAAGATGACCACCACAATCAATCTACTTGCTTCACCTTGAGGAGATTGAAGAGGAAGTCACCTGAACGTTCCGGTCGGGCTAGTACAGTAGCGATGTGACTGATGATGTGATAGAATGTGCGTTCCGTGCGTTACCGCAATCCCTACGGTAGCCACGATGAACCACAGTGTCGAGAACGATGATGAACGAATGGGTGTCCATGCTTGTTGTTGCGCAATGAGAAGTGCGGAAGCTCCGTTCAACAGCTGTTCAAACAGAGAGTGAATATCGACGCCTTCTAACCAGGTTTGGTGTTCGTTAAAAAGTGACGTAAGATTTAATTAGTTGTCTCTTGCAGTTGCTTCTTATTCTCAAGAGAGAAGCATTCCACTTAAGGCAAACAAGGAATGACCATTCTGGACCATTCTAAAGATCATAGGTCTACTCTAAATGTCTATAGTGAGTGGAAACTTCAATGTAACAGTCACTGAGAGCTCGCAATAGTTAAGTACTGGATGACGTCTTCATTGCCCTGCATACCGGTCACAGTATTGTTCCGCTACCCTGTGAGAGTTCTGTGTTTTGCTTGGAACTTCTTACCATCGATAGAAATTATTGCACTGTTCCCTCATTCCTTTTACTTATGGTTCTTGTCTTGTCTTGCAAAAGGTGCGACTTGATGTAAATAATTTGTACCAGGTACCACTCAGATTGAAAAACCGCACACACCGTTTATCAACCAGAGATACTATTAATAGCTAGCTAGTACAGTTGTACCGGTAGCAGCTCTTCCTTCCACTGGTATGTACTCGTAGCTTCTCGCTTGGCTTGGCTTGGCGGATTCACAGATACCGGTATAGAGATCCGTATCGTATCATTATTAAGATTAGTATCCGACCATGACGACTACGACCTCTACCCCCTCCACTCGTCTACATGTACGAGAAGAACAAGAGGAAGGAGACCTTCTGGTAATGCCATTGCCGACGCTGCGGTATCACAAGAGCGATTACGCGGTAGCCGGAGGGACTGCCCCCAACAGTGCTTCTACGACCGAAGAAGAGGACGAACACGAACTCGATGACCTCCTGGGCGACAGCAGCAATGTGCACCATACCAACAACAATAACAACAACAACGAACTGATTGAACAATTCATGGCGCGCATGGGTCTGACGGGCGAGGGCTCCGTTCGACAGTCGCTGCTCAGCATGACATCCAGTTTGACGCTCACGGATTTTGATGAATTGGAAGAAGACGACATTTACGGGGATCACGTCGACCACGATGACAATTTCCAGCAGCAGCAACAACAACCCTTGGACCAAGATAACGACTGTGTCCCAACCTGTCCTGCACGACGGGTGAGTTTGCAGCAGACATCGCAACATACTACCACTTCTACGACCAACCACAACACTCCGAGTACGATCCAAACAACAACAACAACAACAACAACTACGACCGATTGCATGCCCAAACGTCCCGGACGACGGACCAGCGAAACCACGTGCCAATCGATTCCCGAAGATTCAATCGCGACGCCAAAGGAAGATGTCGACGAGCTGTTGACCAGTCTCAGCGGCCATCATCGTGTCGACGCCATGCCCAAACGACCGCGGCGACGCAATTCGGATAGTACTTGTAAATCCATTCCGGAAGGCACTGCCTTTTGCGATTTGAAGGACTACGTTCCCATTGTACCGGCACGACGACAAAGCGACAACAGGAGTGCGTGCAAGTCCAGTAGTATCGTGAGTCTACGAGCATAGTTCGGGATGCATGGAGCTACCTATACTGTACAGTATAGGGCGCTACCTAAAGGAAACAAGTACAACACTTTTAATTTGGGCATAATGGGTTAAAATTTTGAGTTACATCTGGCTAGCTACCCCACTCGTAGCTTACCTTACCGGCAGCTCTCCATTCGATCATAGCTAGCTAGATCCGGATGCTCGTTTCTGCGTAGCCAGCCAGCTAGTAGTACGGGTACAGGTCGTTTGAGCTGTGCGACTAACTGATGGGCAGCCACTGTGCCGTCGGTATAATATCTAGATCGTTCCGCTCCAGCTGAAGCTTAAAACCTCAGCCCGTCCGCTGGGAATCTCCATCAATTCTTTCAATGCATGTAGTTTGTTATGGATAAAGGTGCCGTATGTGTGTGCATGGCTGCAGTCAGTGTGTCCTAGCTACCGGGCTGGCAATAACTTACTATCTGCAGGCCCAGGACAAGGCTACCACGTTCAAGTATCCTCGGTCTGCAAATATATATCTCTGGTACCATGACGACCATCAATGAATGGATGCTCCACTGTCTTTTCTGGCGCACCCTCAACTTCTTTTCAAATGAATGTGAACGTGGATCCCTGCATGCATTTTCCAACGCATT